CGCTCGCTAACTGCCGCCTCAAGACTCGTAACTCTCGTGACTACGCTTCATGAATCACTGTCACACACAGACTAGTGTTCCCACTCACGGTCTTCACCGCGCTGCTGGGTAACGTCTTCCAACAGTGTACGTTCCTCTGCTCCCGGGCTCACGTTCTCGCAGGCTGGCGTCTACCTCACAACAAGACTGCGCAACGACTTAACAAAAATGGCGCTCCTCCGCCTCCACCAGGGGCGACCGTCTTCGACGACCTCTGACGGGTCTTTCACCCAACTGCTAACTGCAGGCAATAGATTACACACCTAACTATTCTCCCACTCTCGAGTGAGAGAGAGAGTTACTTTACGACGGGCGGTTTATCGCCAATCAGTTCGTCTTGGCGACGAGCCCCTTGAGGCTCAAGACCAATATTCTTTTCAATTAAACACTTGCGGTCATAGTCCTTATGTAACATCCTCTCTGACGAGGGGATGGGTCTGTCGTTTACAACTGATGCTGACCTTTGCCAACACAGTCGCTCTTAGGTCCGAATCCCTTGGGGCTCATGACCACATTTTACTGCCTCAGATTCGAGACTCCCCCAACGTGGAGGACCAGGTCCCCGTATTTATATCCCCCAGGAACAGGGAGGCCCGGTTATACTCCCAGGCACTGGGTTCCCTTTTCTTCGACTTCTATGACTCGCAGGGCTACGGTGGAGGTATTCGACATGGCCTCCACACGGACCCACAGAAAACACCGCTTCCCACAATTTCTCTATTGTGGCCTGCATAACTTTTGCTATGCTGACATGGCGTTTACTGTGCCGTAACCTGGTAATGGACGTCTCTACTGAATAAACTATTCCGGCTTTCAGCAGACATGCCACAGTATTCTTCCTTAGTTACAGCTGGACATGGAGCTACTGCCATACTGTTTCACCGAGCATGATGGCTCAAGCGGTGACATTTCTGATCCATATTAGGGAGAGTTCGGTTCGAATCTCAGCCACAAGGTATCTGTGGTTTTCCTCAGCCCCTCAATACAAATGCCAGGATGATACCTCAAATTTAGCCACAACTGCTTCCTTCCTCATCCTTTCCAATTCACTGTTCAGTATCAGCCTACCATTTGACACTGTACACACTCACATACTGATCCATTATTGGCAGTGCGGTGGGCCACGCATCTTGATACACTGCTCTAGTGCAGAATGGAACTTCCTTTCAATTTGGGTCTACGTTTTACACAGTTAAAACTTCACACTGAAATGATCCTGGTGTACATCCATGGGTTCACCCTCACCATGGTTGGGCTCCAATAACTAACTCCCTGTTTCTTGATACACTACCTATCATACTCGAAAATTATAATTAAGTAGCAAAAATATATCTATAATCTCAAAGCCAATCACTGTATTCCCCCAACAGCCAATTGCAACCCCCTCCGATCTCACCAGTGTATTTCCTTACAATTTGCATTAATACTATCTTTCCACCTCCTGTTTTGGACTTCTAAAAGGTCACTATCCTGGCAGTTCCAAATCAGAATTCTGTATGCATGTCTTGTCTCTCCTATACAAGCCACAGTTTTGGCCTGTCATAATTTCCATCCTTCCATTAACCTAACAACTCTCAGTGGCATGTTAGAAGTTCTTTATAATGCAATATCCTTCAGTGTCCATTGAAGTTCCAAATCCCCCTTTCTTAACTTTCAATACGTGTTACTCTCAAAGTAAGAGGCCACATTTCACAACCTTTAAAAATATTGTAAAACGGTTTCAGTATTTTGTAAAGTAGATACAATGATGAAAGCTTTTGAACTGACTAATGATAAGAATATTTTTACACACAAGTCACATTGAATTTTAAAATTATTTTAAAACACTGCTAGAAATTAGTGCACGGGTTGCACAGTTCATGCACAGCCTCTGAATGTAGGCTGCAGTTGTGTTCATTCAGTTACATTTAAAATCCTGACATGTATGTAAGTATCGAAATCCTTACAACACAAGCAAATTCGAGGCATCTCTTACACATAGATTTACATATTCACCAATAATTTAATTATTCTCTAACTAAAAGTACAAAGAAAAACAATCCTTTGAACCACAACAGAATAAAACCACAAAGCTGAAATAGCATAAATAAAATATCAGTATTATTTTCACCTGCCAGTTTCTCCACTTGAAAGAAAATGATATATTTAGAACACCTGCAAAAGAATTTCATTACAGGATTCAATATGTGGTGTTAGCATAAGCTTTCCGCTTGTTCTAGATGCAAATATATGCATCTGAATTCTACAATCTAGTACGTAACAAAGGTGTGGAAGAGCATATTCTGGATATGACAAGTCCAAGGAAGAAATGAGGAAATATGACTGAACTTTCAAATAAAAAGTAACACAATAATTTCTGAATAAAAACTGTAACTTATTTTCCAAACAATGCTCCTTCCCCAACCCTAAATACCTTTCAGTACATCCTTTCACATTCATAATAATTTACATCACTGAAGTTGGCCTTCTAATGGAAACTGTGTGTAAATTGTTGCTCAGACACACAGAAAAAATATTTGAGTAATATGTTCTAGTTCATAAAGGAATTCAAGATTTAGCAATATTTATGCCATATTTTATATAATGTGTGTATTTACATTAATCTTCCATGCAGGACTTTATTCTCTTATTGTAATCAGCCAATGTACAGTAACTGACTTGTCCTATATCATGTAACAATGATCTATTGAGACGAAATAAATAAATAAATCTCATGAATGGGAAAGTAATACTTTACACTAAATGTAAAAGGTTACAGAAATCCCTTTATTTGGAATACTTTTCTAGCAGTGTAGCATGATAGAAATTTTACAACTGGTACTATATTAAATCTTATGTAGCAGTGGCTTACACTAAGTGGTACCACAGACAAAGTTGAACATCAGTACATACACTTCACATAATTTAGCTTAATGAAAGGTGTTAAATACAAGTTAACTTCTACATCTAAAATTACTGTCTTAGAATTTGATATGTAGCAATTAATAACAAAAGCTTGTATGCCAATACCTAGAAATAAGCTGAACTCACACTGTTCATTGAAATTACAATAACAAACATATCACTCTCTTGAGAAAGGTGTAAAAAAAAGAAGAATCAATAAACTTAATTCAGTAAACATAATCATTAAAACACAGATGTGAAATTTAAATGTAACTGCCTTAAATACTATCTGCTTTCCATGAATGCAAAAGCAATGCAATCTTTGTGTATGTATTTATACTTTTATCCTAGAAAACATATCAAATTACAAATTCAGAATAAAAATTAAATCAGTTCTTGCCTTAATATGTAGTATTATGATTTATCATTTACCATACAAGTTGGGAGTGAGTGCTTCAGATGTAATTATTCAGACTTCACAAAATCTGTATTGCAGAAAAAATAAACATCAGGATATACAGACAATATGTAAAGGAGAAAAGCTAATGGTTGTACCTCTAAACTGTATCATTTTGGAGATAAATTTACTTCAAAAACTTCCTGACAGTTTGTTGAATTAAAAAAGGAACAAACAAAAGTTGAAGGTCTGAATGAGCCTCATTCTCAGTTACATAAACTATTACCTTCATACTCCGCTTTCCTCTTCTCTGACTGAAACTCCTGAAGGGCTGTAAGAAGTGCTGTCCTTTCCTCTCCAGTCAACCGCATGATTAAGTCATGTGCTTGAAGTTTGGTAAGGGGTCCTGTCAAAGAGTGTGCTTTTTCTTCTTCTAACGCTGATGTAGAACTACTATACAAAATTTTGCGTTCTTTTTGAACATAGCTTACGGCATTTTTATATACGTGCACCTGGCATCTTTTCCCTGTTATTACTGACCCTACAAGTAAACTTTCATTATTTATATTTCGCGCCCCTTGTAATGATATATGAAAAAATCTGAGTATACTCTTGATGTTAGCAGAATAATCTGAGCACCAGCAATTAAAAATTCTGCGTATTCCCGAATTAATATATACATTTTGGGTTCCTAGAGCCATATTTTTGTTGGATACTATTAAATTTAGAGCAAACTGGAATTCATTTCTGTAGTAATTTTACGAAAATGTCGTATCGTTTTACGCGCACCATTCACTCACCGCCAAACAACCGAGACCTCGATTAGCTCATGTAGCTGACACGTGACCGACGTGACCTATGACAGAACACCTGACGCATCCTGACCACTGTGATGAGGGAAAGGAAAACATGCGCAAACACCATCTGACATAATGTCTACTGCCATCTATGAGCAGCGTTCACACTGCTCGCTCATGTGTCCCAATCATAATTGTGTGAAACACTCAAAAGCCCCTAATAAAACTAGTGTCCTCCTACATGTGTTCGCTTTGAATGTTATGGGGGTTTGGAATTAAGTACAAATTATTTACGAGTTTCTGGCTATTCTTTACTGGATGGTAATATTACATTTGAGCAACCTGTTGCATGTTCTACTTTTACAGGGCTTTGGTAAGGACAGGAAATTTGGGATAGCGTGCACTATTGATTCTGCTGGAATGCTGCACAATAAATATTTGTGCAGCAGACATTTTTTTGGAAAGTGATTTCAGTACAGCTAAAAGGATGCAGTGGAAATTCTATGTGGCTCAGATTCACCTTCACGTTTAGCCTCCAGTTCTTTCATTACATACCCTTTCTTCCCTTGCCTTCAGTTCCAACTCCTGAAGATGATATTCATATAATCTAGGTGTGTAATATTCATTACATTATGTTACTTCATTACTATGGTTACATTATTCCATTCTTTCTCAGCTTGTGTGAAAACAGGTTTCGGGAGGCCTAGTACGCATAGGTTACTACGGAGCGCTACTCTTTAACCGACTGAGCTCTCGAAAGTGGCGGCCGCTGCTCCGAAGTTGTAGCCCAAATGCTGCCAATAGATGGTAACATTAAGGTTTCGTGACGTCAGGGCGGAAACGCAGCACACGGAGGACCTGACGTATGGTAATTGCAGGTGAGAAGTTAGGATGTTGTAAAGTATTAAATGAATTTGGTTTGGAACGTGTGAAAAATACAGATTTATAAAACTAGTTTACCCAGTGCACGTATTGTTTTGCTTTAAATGTATGTTAATATTAAGGCAGTATTCTATTAAAAACAGGGAAGTTTAAATACATTATGTCCTGAATTTTGTGAGGTTATGTGCTGTTTCGTTTTCATACCGCTGATACGTTAATAGCAGGTGTATTCATTTAACTGTACTGCTAATGTAAGGATAGATATCCACAATTTTGAAAATTCTGAACGGTTTTGTCGAAATCTAATTTCGATAGCTAAGTCGTTTATTTTGTTATAGGTTACTTGTTTTTCGCAATGGCCAGTGGGTCATCAAATGATACCCAATCAACAATTGCCCAGAAAACATGGGAGATGACCAATAATATCGAAACCATTAGCAGTGTTGATGAAATATACCGTTATGACCGAAAACAGCAACAAGATATACTTGCTGCTAAACCATGGGAAAAAGAGTAAGTATATAGAGATATAGATATGAGTATCGAATTCTAATTTAAAAAACGTATGCAGATTGTCATATGCACCATGATAATACTGAACAATATCACAGGTAAGATTGCATATCCATCTGGGTCTGACCGCTGGAACTGCCATTAGCCACGTTAAAAAAATTCGCTTAGTGGGGGGTGGAGTCCAACTGGGTCCACTCGGCACGGCGGCCACTGATTGGCCTATTGTAGCCTGTCCCGAGTGATTATGATGATGGAGAATTTGGCGGAATGAAGACTGGCAGGGGAACCGAAGTACTTGGAGGAAACCTTCCCCAGCGCTACTTCTCCACTAGAAATCGCACTTGACCAGACCCGGGATCGAACCCGGGCCGCCGCGGTGGGAAGCCAGCGACTAACTGCTTGAGCTATGGCGTGACCTAGGTATTATCCATGTTAATCTTCAGAATTATTCTGGCTGTGTGCAAAGATTTGAAGTAGAGCAATCTTTTCATAGCTATAAATTAATGTATAAGTGGTGGGCCTTCTTGGCCCTTGCACCGCGACCTACAGTGATCTATTGCACTTACCCTTTTGATTATCCCCTCAGCAATCCTGCAAAATAGTCACTTGGTTCCATAAAGTATTGACCCAAGTGACATAATCTTAAATAAGCTAGGGCCTCACATTCACACAGGATATGTGTGGCTGTTTCATTTTCTTCTTGACACCTCTCACAAGTGGGACTGTTACTTAGTCCGAGTTTGAAGAGGTGTCCTTTAAGGTGACAGTGTCCTGTAAGTAGTCCCACCACCCATCATAGCTGGTTCCTTCACTCTTTTAGCAGAGGGTCCTCATATGAGTCCCTTTGCTTGCCTGAGTCCAGTCAAGGATCCCCAGTATTTCTTGTGACTCATATTTGTCCAGTCCCTGATTGCCTTTCTGGGAACTCCCATAGAGATGCCACAGGCTGGTTCAGGTTTTTCATTATTAAGTTTGAGCACTAAATTCTCTTACATTAAATGGTGCTAGTATCGCTACGTCCTTGTCCACCATGTTAATGTTATAGAGGGTATTGTTTTAACTAGTACAAAGGTGGGGGTACCTGCAATGAAATAAGGCTTACATTAATGCCATGGTGCAGAAGCTCATTTGAGAAGCTTACAGTTTGTAAATTTGTTAAATTCCCTCTCTTTTATAGTCCCCAAAAGGCCATTACCTTGTTGAGTATGAGACCACCACTGGACCATACCTGAGCCAGTCCGATCAATTCCACACCCTTATATCTGATTGCTTATACGATTTTCATGAGAATCTGTCAATTTATTGAAAGTTTGGTTGCTGGTCACATTAGATAAGTTAGAATGGTTCATGCCAGAGCTATACCAAAAAGTGAAACACAAACTTCTGTGATTGGTGAGGAGGATCAGACAAATTAGATTGGTTTGTGCTGGTTCCAGTAACCTTAAATAGAACCTTGCTTCAGTTGGAGATATAAATGATCACCATACCGTAAAGTTGTGTGGATGGACGTGTACTGGTGGAATTAAAGACATCATATGAAGAGTTCTGTCTTCTGGGAGATAACATCATGTAGTCTGTTATATCCCAGAAGATAGAAATCTTCATAACCACTGCTGTGGGAACCCTATATATGCTTATGTTTCTTCATAAGATATGGAATGTGGGCTAAATATTATATTATGAAATCATTGCCATGTTATATTCATTCTTAGAACCTGACATTGCATTATTAAACTATGTACATTACTGTCTACTGGGAAGTAGCATCTCTGTCATCAAGGAAGAAGCCGCAGGCAGCAGGTACCTCTCCTCATCTGGGGCATCACATCCCAGAAGATTATCTCTATGGTGTATGGTGGCTGCTGTGACAACCTCAAACTCTGTTTGTTGCAATGAAGAAAGTCGTCTTCTGAGTTTTGGCGCCGTGTATTCTTCGTTTTGGCTGACATTCCTCCGAAACGTCGGCCAAAACGAATACATGGCGCCAGAACCCAGAAGATGACTTTCTTCATAGTCATCGCCGTGAAAACCTCAAAACTCACATCTGTTTGTTGCAGTCCACATTTTTTCAAAGATATCAGGATCTCAGCTCTTGCTCTGCTCAAGATGGTAATGCATGCCCGATCTGGTGGCACACTCGAGGTGATGGGTTTGCTCCTGGGAAAAGTAGATGCTAATACAATGATGGTAATGGACTCCTTTGCTCTCCCAGTGGAAGGCACAGAGACTAGAGTTAATGCACAGGCACAAGCATATGAATACATGACGGCATACATTGAAGCAGCAAAACAGGTGAGAAGTTTGTGCATGTTATATGTTCCTTGTTCTATGAAACATATTTGGTGGTATGATGTAATTATACTTTTTTTAGGTTGGTCGACTAGAGAATGCCATTGGCTGGTACCACAGCCATCCAGGATATGGCTGCTGGCTCTCAGGCATTGATGTGTCCACGCAGATGCTCAATCAAAACTTCCAGGAGCCTTTTGTTGCCATTGTAATTGATCCTGTCCGAACGATTTCTGCAGGCAAAGTTTGTCTTGGGGCTTTTAGAACATATCCAAAGGTTAGTGAAAAATCAGATACATCTGGTAGAAGAACTTGGAGGAACAACACCAGTTCTGTCTCCCATCGCTATAACCTGTCTGTCTTATTGCTATTCTCCCCTTCCATATTCTTTTTTGGTCTTGAAAGTAGCTGATATCCAAGAGGTTTCCTCACCTAAACTCTGCAAGGTTTACACTGCTTGACAGTTGCAAGAATTGCATTAAAATGTCAAAGTCCATTACATTTATACTCCATATCCAACATGTCTGTCATTTGCCACAGTCCCAGGCTGTCAAGAGGTCAGAAGATTCCCTGGTTAAGATTAATTACCATGTTCTCAAAAGCCCACAACAGTGCTGGTTCAGTCCAGTCCATGGTTTCATACTCTGTTTCTCGGAGATCTAGTTTAATATCTCATCTGTGCCTAGGTCACTGAAGTAGCCTCTTCCCATGAAGATTTCTGACTGTTGTTGCCTATCTCATAGCTGTTAATATGTCATTCTATCTTTAAAAGGTGAACTATAGAGTTTGAGCTTTCAGTATCTAATTTTCTTTGAATGCCATTATGTCCTCTTTCATAATTCATATATTATCTTTAACAGAGGGTGTCAGACATCCTTGGTCTCTAACATAGTGAGGTACTAATGTTGTTCATTTCTTCTTATTACTTTAGGGATATAAGCCTCCAAGTGAAGAACCATCAGAGTACCAAACTATACCTCTCAACAAGATTGAAGACTTTGGTGTTCACTGCAAGCAGTATTATTCTCTTGAAGTGACATACTTCAAATCTTCTTTGGATCGTCGCCTGCTGGATTCTTTATGGAATAAATACTGGGTGAACACGCTGAGTTCATCTAGTCTTTTGACTAATGCAGATTATACCACTGGCCAGATCTTTGATCTCTCTGATAAACTTGAGCAGTCCGAGGCCGCTCTTGGACGTGGAGGCTTCATGCTGGGTGGAGCTGACCCTCATGAGAAAAGAACAGAAGACAAGTTGTTGAAAGCGACAAAGGACAGCTGCAAAACTACCATTGAAATTATCCATGGCCTTATGGCTCAAATGATTAAGGATCGCCTTTTCAATCATGTCAAACCAAAATATGAAACGTAAAATATAATACCATATATGATGCATTTTTTAACACTTAGTTTCAAGGAATTTGTATCACCTTATGATCTGGCAACAAGAACTGGACAGCATAATGCAGTATAATTAGCATGTTTATAAGTTTGTATACTATCCCAAAATGGCAAAAAAAAAATCGAGCACATTTGATGTAATGTGCCAACAAAACAAAGGAAATAGTTCACTAGAAATAAATTGTTTCAGTATTTCTTTGAGTACCTCTTTCTTCAGACATTTTCGTTCCTTTAAATAATTTTCCATGTTGTAAGAATCTAAGAGTCATATTTATCTGAATATTACATTAGAGGTTTGAAAGGCTGTGCAGTAAATCCTAAAGCACAGCACATGAGCACCCTGGGATTCTTATGTAAGAAGTCAGAGTCAGCTCAAAATAGAGTCTAACACACAGATAACTGGACTACAGATGTGTCAGGGGTGATCAAACCTGAAACAGCATGAACTTTTTGTATATAAATATTGGATTATTCCATAGAAGGGCAAAATCTTCGGGGGGCTGGAGAAGCTTGTAGCTATACTCCTCTTCTCTTTTTTAATATCCCCTTTTGGACACTTCAGTGTTTGCATCACTGACCTAAAATCATTTATTACAGATATAAATCTGCTGCTGAAAATATAAATCGACCACAGATCAGCCATATTGCAGTCAGAAATAATTTTTGGTTATCTTATTAAATGTGGTAAACTCTCAGTTATCTGCTATCCAAACATCCAGAATTCTTGTATAACAAACAAAAAATTGCAAAGAAAATTTACCATTTTTGTGAAGTTTGTAGCTATTCCTTCACATGCAGTGAAAATGGCTCTTATGTACCTGAACTTTTCCTTTGGACAGTTGAGTTCAACGCATGGAGATTACCGTGTTATACTCCATCTTCACTGGGCCTCTGACTGCTGCTTCTCCAGTAATTGCCAAAGTCTCCTCTCTTTGTCTTGAGACTTACCCCCTTCTCTTTGTTGGTATGGAGCAGTATGTTAGGAAGGTAGGAGGTCTGGTACTGGGCACCAGTAAGCACAGAGTAGTGCTGCTTAGAGGTGTTGCCTCTTGGGTAAGAATGATTGGAAGTAACTGGCTCTGGACTCAGTATGCCAGAGATCTTATCATGGGTCTTAACAGGCCTTGCTCCAGCAGGCAGGAAGAACAATGATGCTACACACTATTCACAACCCAAGATGACAATCTGCACTTAAATTTATTGAACACTGAAACAGCATGAGGAAGGTGTGTGCAAAAATGGTCCCAAAGGAGCACTGTCTGTGAGGGAGTGCGCCTTTGGAACCATTTCTGCAGACACCTTCCTCATGTCAAGATCTTCAGTTAAGATTTTCCTAAATGTTTCTCTGTTGATATTTGTTTGCTCTGCTATGCTCCTGACAGCCAACGATTTTCACACACAATTTAATGAAATGTGCTATATTTTCTTCAGTTTTGCTCATCACTGGCCGTCCTGATCTCCTTTCTTCAGTGACACTTTCTCTTCCCTCAAAAAAACGTGTCACCCATTTGTAAACTGCTGTTTTCTTCATAGCATTATCCCCATAAATTTGTACTTACATCTGTCTAATTTTGCTCTGGCATTCTCGCAATGGCACCCCAAAACACACTCAGACGATAAGAGACGGCACTCAGGAAGAGACTGCCATAGATCAACAACATTGCTGTGAAACGCTGATATGCCAACACCATCAAACCATACTGAGATTTTTGTTCACTGCTACCATGGTAAGCACGTGGTGGGAAATTTATGAGCTTTATTGTCAGGCCTCATATAGCTTGAAATTTAGTACTCTTAATCAACATTCATTATAAAATGCCTAATTATTATGAAAGGTTACAAGTTTTTCAAAAATGAAATTTGTGATGTGCATATGTTCACATGCCACACAGTGTTTTCACAGCTGCCACTACAATGGCAATACAGTGTTTTCCCTCATGAAGATGTCATTAATAGTAGAGACTAGTTAATTTTATGTTCACGTTACAGCATATGTATTTGAAATCTTTTATCCCTAATCCACTTGTCATCAAGACTCCCACACAAGATCAGAAGTGAAAATATGTTCTTCTGACTTCGATTTGGGTGTCTTGTAAGAGTTTTTCTCATACAACCAGCAGATTTGTCTAACCAGCACACCCGTTCCCCATATGTGCTTGATAATGGGGAGTTACTGTATTCATCAATTTGAAAAAAAAAAAAAAAAAGTTACAAATCTTACTGAGATGTATTGTTTGTCCAATGCATCAATTCTTTTGCACATTAAAGTGCTTCTGAGAAATTATAAATTCATCTTCATTATGTGATAAATTCAATTTGATGTGGTATGAACCAAAATCTTATTTGCCCAGTAACTTTCAGTGTCAATCCCCAGAACACGAATGATATTCCAGTCTTAGAGACAGGACAGACACAATCATCCCATGAACTGCTTTCTAATGCTTTGTGCAAAGAACACTATGGAGCTACCCATTCTTTGTGATTCCAGCTCTGCACACCCATTCGCTATGTGTATATTCGTTTTTTCACTAACTTATCCTCTAGTCTGTCACTGGGACTTCACATCCTTGACTGGATGAAGAAATTGGTTGAAGGGCTGTCACTTCAATTATACAGCAGAAATTCCAGTGGAGTCAAAGGCTGCATTGCACGAGGTCACACACAGTGATATCCATAATGTTCTGATCAGTAAGAATGATGGCAGAAGTGTGTAGCTGCTGAAAAACAATAATTTGAAGACAAACGCATATACAGCTTTTTATCCATAGCTCTACAGCCCTTTTTGGAATCTGGCCACTTTTCAGTTTCTTGATCTCTCACACAGTTGGTAGGACTCCTTGGATGGGGAATCAGCCCAGGGTAAGGCACCTGCAAACACAGGACAGCACAGACCCAGAATAAACACACACAGACATCCATGCTTCAAGTGGAATTCAAACCCACGATCCCAGCATTCAAGCGAGTGAAGACAGTTCATGCCTTAGACCACATTGCCACTGTTATCAGCCTACAGGCTTCCTAGTGCCACTGATTCTCTATACGTAAATAAAATGATTATTTTCCCATGTTCTTCCTTAGTAGATTACAACACAAACCTCTATTATCTGGGCATGAGGAATTTTAATCCACTGTCCCTCAACATTGTTCCCAAGATATTTCATATTTCATGTGTCCACTGAGATAGTATTTCATATTATCAATAAATTGCACTCTTATGCTCTTCTGTGATGTTCCACAGACCATAGAATGCATTTAATTCATCAGTACACATCAAAGACGGTATTTTAATCATTTATTTGGTGTAAGAATATACCGTTTATTCCATTAATTTTCTACAAGGGATATAATAAATTCTGTAAACATGTTTAAGCCTACCCTTTTAAATGTCTTCCCACTTAAGAAGTAATTGCTTCTTGGTCTCTTAACTGTTTAAACAGAAGTAACAGTGCCCCAATTAGGACGAAAATGTACACTGAATTCTGTGGTTTCCAAACTTCCAGACTAATTATGTAATTCAATGACTGCAGGACCAAGTCAAACTTTAGACAAATATGAACAAGATGCAAGATAAACCATGTCATTAAATACATGACTGGAAAGAATGGCACCATTGTGGAAGCCCTGTGGCTGCACAAATTTCCAAAGTTGGTAGCACCAGTTTTTTAAACAACTTACAAAACCAAAAATCAAACTACAGTGAGTATGTCATCATACTATACGAGAACCCACTAACCACCTGCTAGCAATAGATATAGAGACAACATAAAATGATCACAACCACTAATGATCAATTAATCATCCAAGTATTTAAATACTGCACTTTTTGCCCCATAGACTTTGCTTTCAAACTGGTTTATCAAGAAGTAAATTTCAGAATATATCCACTGCAGAACTGCAAATTCATAATTTTCATGTGACAATGTACTGACAGCTCTGTTTCATATAGGTTACATCAGACTAAAAAACTGAAACACACACAAACATGGATAATTCCTATGCTACAAATTAAATTGAGAACAAACTTCAGCAGATATGGACCAAGCATAGGAACCAAAATATTTTCATGGGCCATTGAGTTTAGAAGTAAAAAGATCCTTCCATGTGATAAATTTTTTTTATGGTGAATTATTCTCTGCTCATTTCCATTCTATTCCTTTCTAACAATTCTATACATAAATGTAAATCATTTTCTGGGCTCAAATGCTCAGCTTATCAAAACCCATCTTATATCCACGGTCCTAATTCAGGTACTGTATGCAGCTATCCTCAGTCTGAATCTCCATCCCCATATTAATGATTCCTATAAAACTAATAACAACAAAGGTAGTGATAAATCTGTTAAGATTAAAACTGTAGTAACACTGTATGTTAAGGCAGCGTAACAAATTCAGATTTCAGAGGACTAAGATATGATTTGACATCCTGGGATCAGGGATGAGTTCATAAGGAAAGCAGGTTAAGACAAATTCTCTGATGTGCACTCTCTTCCACATTTACAAGATGTATGGCACAAGTGAGTGGAGTCCTATATGGTGACTGGCCCTACAACATGCAATTAATGATCAGTATCCACAAGGAACAATACACTAGAAGTTCTGAATAGACAATATCAGAAAAGACATGTTCAAATTTGCTCAGAGACTACACATTTTCATACTATGGACAATCTGCTTAAATAACAATATTTAACAATAACATATGAAAAACTCATCAGTTTCAAGGTATGAATATGGTCAGTTAACAAGGGGGACAGTACCTACACACAGGCACATTAAACTACCATTCATATGCTAAAACTTCCAATTAATAACAACCTTAATTTTATTAACAGTGTCCAGACAGGCTCTGAAGCCCATCTAGCATTCTTCCCAATGGCTACCGAGGGTCCTTTCCTGAGGGTAATATAGCTGGATCACGAAGATTACCATTCACATCCATCTAGTACCATAGTCAAGACTGGTGGACCTATACTTTCACTCCCCCATACGTCTTCATGACTTGATGCTTAATTAGCTAACCAGAGGTACAAGAATACTTTTGCATTAAACTCATTATTCTAACTACCTTTCTTTTTTAGGTTCTGCACCAGGAACTGGGCCAATGGACAAAGTCCCCCTACTATGAGGTGAACCTTAGTTTATGCTAAAAAAGGAATGAAAGAATGATACATAGGAGATGACAACCCTTTCACAAAAT